CCTATCACACACTACCCTACTTACAACACCTACTCTACCCTATTCCTAATCCTACTACCAACTTTTCTTTTTTCCATCTACTCCATACTCTATTCTCCTATTACCAACTACCCTACATCACTTACACTACTACTACTACTCTCCCAATCCTACACTATCCTATCATTCCTACCAACTACACAACCTACACTACTACTATCAATCACTACCAACACTACCCTACTTACCCTACTTACAACACCTCCCATTTCCCCCTACACTACCCTATTCCTACTACCAACTCTACCAACCACACAACACATTTCCAACTACACTACTCTCTTATTCTCAACTACCCTACCAATTCTACCTACACCACCACCACCACCACCACTACTACTACTCTTTTCCTCCCACATTATCACTTCCTTATTACCAACTACACTACCATTACTATCACTACTACTTACATTCTCACACACTACCCTATTCCTATTACCTACAACACCACTACTACCTCTCTTTTCTTCACTCCCTACTCTATTCCTATTCCTACTACCAACTTTTCTTTTTTCCATCTACACCACATTCTTATTTCCATTACCACCACTACTCCTATTACCAACTACCCTACTTTCTCTACCACAATTTTCTTCCCACCCTACACTACCTACACTACTTACACTACTACCTCAATTTTCTTCCCACACTACACTACCATTACCCCCACCACCACTCATTACCAACCACACTACCCTATTCCTATTACCACTACCATTACTACCACTCCTACTGCCACCACCACTACCACTACTTACACTACTACTACTACTACTACTCAAATCATCCCACACTACCCTATTCCTACCAACTACACTACCATTACTATTACTCTTAATACCACCACCACCACCACTACTACCACCAATTTCATCCCACACTACACTATTATTCCTATTACCAACTAATCTACCCTCACTACCATTATTCTCACTCGCGGGGTGTCCACGGCGTTATTTCCACATTATTTACCGGGGTTTTCACGCGGGTTATCGACGGGTTATTTACCGGGGTTTTCACGCGGGTTATCGACGGGTTATTTACCAGCGTTTTCACCTGGGTTATCTCCACATTATTTACTGGGGTTTTCATGGCCGTTATCTCTGCCTTATTTACCAGCCTTTTAATGCCCATTATCTCCAGCTTTTCTACTGCCATTTTCATCCCAGTTCACTCCCCATTACTTTTCCTACTTCTCTCACCAACTCACTAATCTCTAATCTCTACTCATCATACAAACTACTAGTCTGTCTTACCACTCCAGATAACCAACCAGTCCCTTATTTTTGCTAGTCATATTCAAGTCAGTCCCTAGTCAGTCAGTAGTTACTACTACATCCCTTCGTAGCTAGTCCACTTTTTTTGCTAATCAACTCACTACTCATCTTCAATCCAAATAACCAACCGGTCCCTTATTTTCCTAGTCCCTCATCAGTAGTCAGTGGTTCTTGCTAACTCCCCTTTTTTGCTAATTACTTGCTAGTCATCTTGTGTCCAGATAACCAACCAGTCCCTCATTTTTTGCTAGTCATATTCAAGTCAGTCGGTAGTCAGTAGGTGCATGCTCACTACTACATCCTTTCATAGTCCACTGTTCCAAATAAGCAACTGCTCACCTATTTTTTTTTGCTATTTGGTAGTCAGTGGTCATTGCTAACTCCACTTTTTTTTGCTAATTACTTGCTAGTCATCTTGTCTCCAGATAAGCAACCGGTCGCTTATTTTTTGCATTCTTAGTGGCTGTGCTGCTTCCCTTCACCAACTTTCTGGTCCCTGTGTATTTATTTCCTTATATGGTGGTTGCATGCAGTGGCTGTGTAGGTTTCATTCAGTGGCTGTGAGGTTTCATTCACTCACTAAGAGGTTGCATGCAGTGGCTGTGTAGGTTTCATTCAGTGGCTGTGTAGGTTTCATTCAGTGGCTGTGAGGTTTCATTCAGTGGCTGTGTAGGTTTCATTCAGTGGCTGTGAGGTTTCATTCAGTGGCTGTGTAGGTTTCATTCAGTGGCTGTGTAGGTTTCATTCAGTGGCTGTGAGGTTTCATTCAGTGGCTGTGTAGGTTTCATTCAGTGGCTGTGAGGTTTCATTCAGTGGCTGTGTAGGTTTCATTCACTCACTAAGAGGTTGCATGCAGTGGCTGTGTAGGTTTCATTCACTCACTAAGAGGTTGCATGCAGTGGCTGTGTAGGTTTCATTCACTCACTAAGAGGTTTCATTCAGTGGCTATGTAGGTTTCATTCAGTGGCTGTGTAGGTTTCATTCAGTGGCTGTGAGGTTTCATTCAGTGGCTGTGAGGTTGCATGCAGTGGCTGTGTAGGTTTCATTCACTCACTAAGAGGTTGCATGCAGTGGCTGTGAGGTTTCATTCAGTGGCTGTGTAGGTTTCATTCACTCACTAAGAGGTTGCATGCAGTGGCTGTGAGGTTTCATTCAGTGGCTGTGTAGGTTTCATTCAGTGGCTGTGTAGGTTTCATTCAGTGGCTGTGAGGTTTCATTCAGTGGCTGTGCAGGTTTCATGCAGGAAACCTTCCATATAAGGCAGGTTTCATGCGGACCCTGGGGCAGGGTCCGGAAAGTAGAATATTAGGGGGCTGGATGGGTAGATGGAGAAATCATTGAAATGTTGTGGTCCATCCTTAATGGGGCATCCACATCTGCATGTGGGATGACCTCACCACACTGCCAAGAACTGCTGGATTTCTAGATGAATGATTCCAACTTCATGAAGATGATTTGGATTGGTTAGTCTGAGGACCCCTGCATCCAAGATTAAGCAGATAGCCTATCACAGAAGCTCAAAGCAGCTTGAGCAGCAGTGCCATTGGTGAGGCAGGCATACATCAAGCTAGATGAAGCTTTGTCTGCAGAGCAGCAAAACAACTGGTGAATGCAAGAGATTCATATGCTGTGTGATCACATCAACAACCCATTTGTCATGGACATCTTTGAAGTTCAATTAAGGGCAGGTATGGCATCTGCCTTTTTGGATAAATGCAAAATACTTACAGTACATATCACAAGAAGCACCAACAGTGCATGCCATCAAACTAGCATTATTGGAGGAACCCAGACCCAGCAGAAGCCTACATGGAGCAGCTAGTTGGCTAGTGCACAGTTTATGCTTAGAAGAGGCCATAACCTCATTTCACATGGACAGAAAGGATGTCAGGGAATGGGCATCAGAATTGAAAAAATTGGCTATGGCATGCTGTGCTGATTGCATTGCATCTGAACAATTGGGTTTTATCATGGATGCCATGATTTACTTGAAGCTGTACCTTGAAGTGGGCTCTGACACTTCTGCCAGCAAATCCATACAGCAGACTGCATTTCTTGACAAAAATTCAGAGCAGGATTATGCTTTGGATGATGGTTGGCTGGATGATGTGGGGGATGAGTTGCCTGCTTCAGATGGACCTGGCAGGACTGCAGGACAAATTGCTGCTTCCATCCACTCTTGGCATTGATGCATGTCAAGCTTGAGGGCTTCAAAATCTTGCAGAAATGGAGCTGAAGCTTCACACGAGTCAAGCTAATGATGCACTACATGGCCTCCATCTTACATTGGCAGACAAGGCAGCTGTCTTTTGGGGGGTGGTGCACCCAGCTAAGAGCTATTCTACACAAACTCAGGCCTGGGATATGATCTGCACTATCAATGTCTCAGTAAAGAAACAGGCCACAATTTATAATCAATGCAGAGATGCCATGGTTGCATTTGGTGTGGGTGCAGATATCTTAGGATGTTATCAAGAGCTTCATAAAGAAGACCTGGCTGTGCAGACAGCAGCCTTCTCCCAAAATGCACAGGAGCACTGTGGAACCCATCTTCCATGGTTTTGGTCAATCAATGTCCCATGGGACACAGAATCAAAGAGTTGAATGTCTGAATGTATGTCAACCTTACCATTCAACAGTGCTTCAAGGTTGATGAATTTGCTTCAATTACTTTATCACATTCATTGGCTGCAAGCAAAATCTGTCAAAGATCATTAGGAAGAAGAAGAAGAGTTCATAAAATCAGAATTTCAATGTGCTATAAGTTTCTTCAGATTTTGAGCAAAAGAATGGCATACAATACAGATGGGAAACAGCACTATTGGAGCTCCTGGGGTGCAGTGTTATGCAGTGAGGCAGAGGATGATGTATTTGAGGGTGGCAGAGCATGCCAAATGCAAATGGGAGGCCATGAATGCAACTGATATTCAGTTTTTCCTGGAGAAAGATTTGTAGTTAAATGTTAGCTTAATGTGAATCTGCAGTTTCTGTTCCCTGCCCTTGCATTCCACCCTGTAGCTGATGGGTGGGTCAGAAGATACATCACAGGAGATGTCCAGTGGCAAGCTAGCCATTCAATCACCTTCAGCATGTTTTATTTCCATTGTGGATATGTCTGGTCTGACATGGGTATGTATATCATTTGTCTTGAAAGGTTCATGCATCTGTGGGCTGAGATGAATGGCAACACACCATTGTTGGGAAACAGAATATTTATTGCTCACTGCAGAGGGTGAACTTGGGCACTAGTGACTGGCTGAATGCCCTTGGTTGCATTTCTGTCTGCTGAGGAATATTTATCTGCTCATTTGCCAAACTTCTGCCTATCCAAATACATTGGCTCCTGCAATAGCAGAATGCAACATTTTCCCTGAATTGAACCTTGCAAATCTCACACTCCATTTGTTTGCACATGTCCCACCTATGGGCATACCTTGGATCCTATGTTAGTGCAATGAGAATATTGCTTTGCATTTGCATCTGATGACCAATTGCTGTCAGCCTTGCATCTTGCACAGTCCACTCATTTTGAAGGGTTCTGTCTATCAGGATCCATCAAATGCCATGTTAGCAGGTCAAGACAGTCCATATCAACCTTGCATATTGTGCAGGCTGCTCATTTGCAAGGGTTCCATCTATCAGGAGTCAACACCTCATCTACTTCAATCACCTCATCATCTGAGCTCAACCTGTTGTAGTACATCAATAGCTCACTCTTCACAGGCTTCACTGACACTGCAGTTTTGGCAATGATGGGTGGTTGGGATGGGGGTGGTGGGGTGATGGACAGGGTATGTATGTTGTCAATCACTTCACCAGATACCTATTCCACTGAGTCAATGCACAGGATATTATGCCAATGATTATGGATGCAACCTACCCCAGTACTGGCATTGCTTCCCTTACTGATGCTTTCCTGTGTGTAGTTCCTGAACTCTGCCAATTTGCTGTCTTCACCCAGGTACAAAACAGGCACAACCCTACTGCTGACACTTGCAGGTGTGGGCAGTGGTTGAGTGGCACTTGAATGAGTAGACCTTGTGCTCCCTTTGAGCCCAAGGGACATCACATTCAAAAGTGAAGAAGCATGGGAATGTGATGCACTGGAAGCACTGACTCTTGGAGAGTGGATGGCCTTGCTGCTCAAAGGTTTCTCTGCCCAGTCCTTTACCTTTCCAATTCCTGCAACATCACCATTTGCAGAGCTAGATTGTACATCAAGGAAGTCCCAGTAGAAGAGGACAGTTTTGGTGAGTAAAAGCATGTGGAGTATAGTGATGGGAAAGGACTAACTCTGGTGTGCTGTTCCCAGGATGTTGATGTGAAGAAGTCCTTCATGCTGCCTCAACAAGGTCACATGTTCCTATTTTCTGTGCACACCACTTCCTTGCTGTGACAGCTTCATCAGCAACTTCTGTGCTGTTTCCAAGGCTCTCTTCCTGAGTTGGACCATCACCAAACATCTCTTCCACATCTTCCACACCATTGGCAACATCTTGCCCAACAGCAGCTGAAAAATGGATTTGGTAAGTTTTATTAGCCAAAATAACTTTATAAGTGCTTACAACAAGTTGCCCTAGTGATAGAGGTGCCCTGTGAGTCCTGGGCTGTTGACAGGATGTCAGTAAATTCCTTTCTGCCTCAGTTCCTTCATTGATGACTTCAGTGACCTGTTTTATGGCACTGCAACTTGCTCTTCATACTTCTCTTGTTCCATGCAAGTGTCATCTTGACATTTTTGCTCCAAGGTATGCTTCTTTCATGTCATGTCCAGGATAATTTGGCCTGGGTGCTGATTGGCATTCGTGGCACAGGTGACTGGACATGACATCTGATGAGGACATGCTTGTGCACCTTGAGTAGGAATGAGGGGATGAGGGAATGTTTAGGTTCTGTGTGCCTTCAAGTTCTATTAACCCACAACTGAGTCTTTCCCACCCACTGTCAGCATCCTTAGCTAATAGTGTTAGATTTGGCAAGTCGCTCGTAGCCTTCATTCACTAATTGATGCTACTTTTCCTTACCGTGGGAAGCACTTCCCATTTACGGATCTACAAGACCACTGTACTTAGTTGTTTCAAGCGCTGACAATACAGCATGGTAATTTTTGGTTTATTGTCTCCAAATGTTTCATATGTATAATTAATGGTACAAGCACTTGCGCTATGACCATGCTTGTAGTTTCAATACCAGGTTCAACACCCATGTCTCACCCTTTTGTTTCATATAGCGTATTTAACTCATTACTGTAGTAACACCACCTCAGATGTTTGCCGCTCACGCACTCGACTGAGGTGGGTATAGTGTCTTGTTCCCATGTTTGTGTACTTTGCACTCACGTTGTTACCTTAGATCTTGCTATAGGTAATGCGAATATAGACGTTTGCCACTTGTGCACTCGACTGAGATCTTGCTATAGATTTCTGTGAGGTTATGAGCCCCAAGCTCTAATAGCGTATATGATGTCTCACCATTGTTTTCAATATTCTCACTGCCAACCGACCCTTGTCCCCCCCCCACAAATGACTACTGCCATCCCTGTCACCACCAACATGCTCCCGGTGTCACACACCAAAGGTGTTTGGTGAGGTGGACATGGATGTAGCTGATGAATGGAGGTGAAGACCATAGCCCTCATGCGAAGAAGGACAGCCAGCAATGTTGGCAGTCATCCCTCACACAAGAACAGGTTGTCAATGCCAAAGAAAAAGGAGGAGGCAAGTTAAGTGCCAATAAAGTTCTTAAGCGCCTGTGTACAGCATTCTGGTTTTTGACGTATCTCCACCAATTCTGCAGACACTGAAACCATTCCCACACTCACTTGTAGTGCTCAGCCACGCGATCCTACCATCCAAGATTGGAGAGGATTTGTGCACTCCACACGTTTCTACAGCACTCCCTCCAAAAGATGCTCATTTCGCTAGTTCTTCTGATATGGCTGCCTCCACATCAGTCATTTCGCTTGTCCCCTTTGCTAGGGACCATGGCTACATATATCTACCAGGAGTTCCTACCAGCTTCCGTCCTGAAGCGTCCTGGTACATCCCACTCTCATCTGCCCCCTCTCAGCCCATCCAGCTTGGACAGCATGTTCTTTTTGTCAGTATGACCTCCAGGAGGACATTCTTTGGTCGCCTCAGGTCTGTCTTTTGCTTGGAAAGGTCTTATGTGGTCGTTTCAGTCTCTCCAGTCCAAGAAGCATATGGATCCTTCCTCCCTGCCCCCTGCAACGTCTTTATACCAGTCTCATCCGTCATTCTTCCAAAATTGCGACAGCTACAGTATAATCTGCTGTTCTCCACTCTCCCTGATCGCATCCATGATGAGTATGATGCACATCTTGCCTCCTTGTTGCAAGATACAGCAGAAGACGCTCCCCCTTCATCCTCTCTTCCAACAGAGCCTCATTCATGAAGTTTTTATTTGCTTCACTGAGAGGATGGTTTGGGGGGGAAAGTTGCAATCCCCTATGCTCCTGTCACCCCACAGACCCCCAAAGCTTGACCCCTGTTGACATCTGACTCACCCTGTCCGCTTTTGGATGTACTATATCAGCATCAGATCAGCACTGCCTCTCTGTCATCCCACCTTGGCCTAGAAGTGATCTCTTCAAGATGTGACATGCACAGCCTCCCCCTAATGTGATTCCAGTGCGCTTTCTTGGTTCCTGACATTGCTTGACTCATACTTTGACATTCTGACTGTCTTTGACTCACCTATTGCCAATACTTACCAATCTTTTGACTTTGCTTACTGATTCTTCGCTTTTTGGCTTACTTATCCTTACCAATGCTTACCAATGCTTTCCAAGACGATTACCCATCGCTTACATTCCTTACTCATCAGTTACCAATCACTTACCAAGTGTTTGCACCTTGTTTTCCATAGGCAATGCCCCTGTACTGTATATAAGTCACTGTACTTAGGTAGCAAAAAAGAAGACATCAGAGAGAGCCCCTCTTACTCGCAATTTATCATCTCTCAGTAAATCATTCATCAGCTTCGATAGTTGAGACTTTATTAAGGGTCTAGCTATCATCTACTTCGCTTATCATCATCTATCCTCCATATACTTCACTCCAAGCCCTCCCTGAGCTCAGTACAGCTTAGGACATCGAATTAAGTCACCATCCATCCTTCTGTAGGCTGACAGCAGTCTACCCTATCGCTTTCTATCACATTCTTGCTCCCTCTTCGTCAGGAGCACCCCCAACCCTCAGCACTCATCTTTGAGTGTTGTAGCTCACAAAAAAACCCTCCCAAAGAACAGGTTCTACCATCTAGGTACCGCATAGGCACACCACCACTCGCTTTCATTGTCTTTTGTGTTGGTTTTGGTTGGTTTTCACCACTGAACCACACTTTGACTCACACCGGGCAATGTCCCGAAACTTGACATCAAAGGTGTGAACTGGGCAATCTTTTCCCTTCGCTTCCAGACTGCCGTCGAAGCTAAGGAATTGTGGTCCCATTTCGATGGCACCTCTCCTTGCCCTGTCGGCATGACCTCCACTGATCAGGATGGATTTGTAACCGTAGTCCCTCCCGACACTGACGAACTCACTAAGTGGCAAAAAAGCGAAAATATGGCGAAACACTTACTTACCCAATGGATCCCTGATTCCACTGCACTCCAGGTGCATAGCCTTAACAGCATCACAGCTATGTGGAATGAAATCGTTTGTGAATACACAGAGAAGGGTGCTTATGCACAGACCGACCTTCACATGAAGTTTCTAAACTTGCAGTGCCCTGTTGACAGTGACATCTGCCAGTTCTTGGACAATCTGCGTACAAAGAGAGACGAGTTAGCTGCCATCGGCATACAGATCAAAGAAAAGGATTACTGCTTGACCATCATCCAATCGCTGCCTAAGTACCTCGCCAGCTTCACGTCTGGACAGCTAGCAACCGCACGCCTGTACAGCCTGACACAAACTATTGACCCCGACGTTCTCATCTCCTTGATCATCGAAGAGTCTGAGCACAGAAGTCACAAAGAGACTTGGCACATGCGATCCAAAGCCAAGAATTGCGATGGCAATGAAGCCATGTCATTGACCCCTGGGAATTCTTTCGGAAGGGGGAGAGGAAATGGAAGAAATGATAGTCGAGGGGGTAGCTCCAGAGGGCACGCTCGCCAGCGAGGCCCCTGCTGGAACTGTGGGTCGAGGGAACACTACAAATCTCAATGTCCTGATCCTGACAAAACAAAGAAAGAAAGCTTACCTGCTGCCACCAAGGGATCTGTGCATGCTGTAACACTCGATTCTGATGAAGAGGGTGCCTTCTCGGTGCACACCCTGGATGAACTCGATGATGAGGGTGCACTCCCTGACTTGCTGAGTGTATTGTCAGACGATGATGACGTTGATCGACACTGCTTCATCACCACCAACAAAGACTGGTTCAGCGAGATGGGGGATGTGGATGATGAGCACTCACCCCATGGTGACGCTTCAAATCACGTTGAGCCCACTAACACCTCCCCAGAGTTCGCGAACCTCGTAAATGACAGCCCCATCAGTGTGAGTCAAAGTGAGGTTTAGTGGTGAAAACCAACCAAAACCAACACAAAAGACAATGAAAGCGAGTGGTGGTGTGCCTATGCGGTACCTAGATGGTAGAACCTGTTCTTTGGGAGGGTTTTTTTGTGAGCTACAACACTCAAAGATGAGTGCTGAGGGTTGGGGGTGCTCCTGACGAAGAGGGAGCAAGAATGTGATAGAAAGCGATAGGGTAGACTGCTGTCAGCCTACAGAAGGATGGATGGTGACTTAATTCGATGTCCTAAGCTGTACTGAGCTCAGGGAGGGCTTGGAGTGAAGTATATGGAGGATAGATGATGATAAGCGAAGTAGATGATAGCTAGACCCTTAATAAAGTCTCAACTATCGAAGCTGATGAATGATTTACTGAGAGATGATAAATTGCGAGTAAGAGGGGCTCTCTCTGATGTCTTCTTTTTTGCTACCTAAGTACAGTGACTTATATACAGTACAGGGGCATTGCCTATGGAAAACAAGGTGCAAACACTTGGTAAGTGATTGGTAACTGATGAGTAAGGAATGTAAGCGATGGGTAATCGTCTTGGAAAGCATTGGTAAGCATTGGTAAGGATAAGTAAGCCAAAAAGCGAAGAATCAGTAAGCAAAGTCAAAAGATTGGTAAGTATTGGCAATAGGTGAGTCAAAGACAGTCAGAATGTCAAAGTATGAGTCAAGCAATGTCAGGAACCAAGAAAGCGCACTGGAATCACATTAGGGGGAGGCTGTGCATGTCACATCTTGAAGAGATCACTTCTAGGCCAAGGTGGGATGACAGAGAGGCAGTGCTGATCTGATGCTGATATAGTACATCCAAAAGCGGACAGGGTGAGTCAGATGTCAACAGGGGTCAAGCTTTGGGGGTCTGTGGGGTGACAGGAGCATAGGGGATTGCAACTTTCCCCCCCAAACCATCCTCTCAGTGAAGCAAATAAAAACTTCATGAATGAGGCTCTGTTGGAAGAGAGGATGAAGGGGGAGCGTCTTCTGCTGTATCTTGCAACAAGGAGGCAAGATGTGCATCATACTCATCATGGATGCGATCAGGGAGAGTGGAGAACAGCAGATTATACTGTAGCTGTCGCAATTTTGGAAGAATGACGGATGAGACTGGTATAAAGACGTTGCAGGGGGCAGGGAGGAAGGATCCATATGCTTCTTGGACTGGAGAGACTGAAACGACCACATAAGACCTTTCCAAGCAAAAGACAGACCTGAGGCGACCAAAGAATGTCCTCCTGGAGGTCATACTGACAAAAAGAACATGCTGTCCAAGCTGGATGGGCTGAGAGGGGGCAGATGAGAGTGGGATGTACCAGGACGCTTCAGGACGGAAGCTGGTAGGAACTCCTGGTAGATATATGTAGCCATGGTCCCTAGCAAAGGGGACAAGCGAAATGACTGATGTGGAGGCAGCCATATCAGAAGAACTAGCGAAATGAGCATCTTTTGGAGGGAGTGCTGTAGAAACGTGTGGAGTGCACAAATCCTTTCCAATCTTGGAAGGTAGGATCGCGTGGCTGAGCACTACAAGTGAGTGTGGGAATGGTTTCGGTGTCTGCAGAATTGGTGGAGATACGTCAAAAACCAGAATGCTGTACACAGGCGCTTAAGAACTTTATTGGCACTTAACTTGCCTCCTCCTTTTTCTTTGCTATTGATAACCTGTTCTCATGTGAGGGATGACTGCCGACATTGCTGGCTGTCCTTCTTCGCATGAGGGCTATGGTCTTCACCTCCATTCATCAGCTATATCCATGTCCACCTCACCAAACACCTTTGGTGTGTGACATTGGTATGCCTGTCGTTGAACTCTACGATTCCGGATCCACTCGACACATCTCCCCTTACAAGGAGAAGTTCGAGACATTGGTGACGATACCACCCAAGTCATTCTCGGCTGCCAACAAACAACTCTTTGACACTATGGCTATGGGGGAGTTAGTCATAGAGGTGCCAAATGGGTACGATGTAACTAAACTGCGACTCACCAAAGTACTATACTCACCTGAGGTCAGATACACCGTCATGTCCGTCGGCTGCCTTGACCAGCTAGGCTACTCCATCACCTTTGCTGAAGGTACCTGTACCATCAGGAACCCTGCCAATGATGTTGTTGGTCGCATCCCTAAGTCTAAAGCCGGGCTCTATCGCATCGTCCACAATGATGATCATGACAGTGCAAACACAGCAGCTGAATCAATAACTGTGATGGAACTTCACTGTAGGATGGGACACATTTCTCCATCCATTGCTCATTGCCTAGCTGAAAAGGGACTTGTATCAGGTTTGAAGTTCAACTTGTCGAAAGACAAGCTGACCTTCTGTGAAGCCTGTGTATACATGAAGGCAACCAGGAAGCCTGTCACGAAGGAACGCATTGGAGAATGAGCTTGTGAGTTTGCTGAAGAAGTACATAGTGACATCTGGGGACCCACACCTGTAGAAACTCTCGGTGGACGGTGTTACTACATTTCCTTCACCAACGATAAGATGTGACTCACCTATATTCATCTCCTTCACCAGAAGAGTGAAGCCTTCACAGCCTACAAAGATTTCGAGGCCTGGTGTCGCACCCAGCATAACGCTTGCATGAAGACCCTCCATTCTGATTGAGGCAGTGAGTACCTCAGAAAAGAATTTGTGATGTACCTCAAGGCGGCTGGAATGAAACAGAAGCTCACCATACATGATACCCCACAGCACAATGGAGTCGCTGAGTGTCTCAATCGCACCTTGCTTGAAAATGTCCGTGCCATGCTGCACGAGAGCGGCTTGCCTCGCGCTCTATGGGGTGAAGCAGTGCGCCACACCATCTGGTTAAAGAACAGGACTCCCACCAGAGTGCTTGACGGTGGGACACCCCTCGAAGCCACGACCGGGAAGAAACCAGACCTCAGTCAAGCCCGTGCATGGGGCTTGAGCATCTGGGTATGAATCGAGGGTAGAACCAAACTTGGAGGGTGTGTTGCAGAGGGCCGATGGGTTGGGATCGATGATAACAGCCCCAATGGCTGTCGCGTGTACTGGCCTGAAAAGAAGTCAGTTACTGTTGAAAGGAATGTATATTGGAATCCCTCCTCAGCTGAGTCATTACCTCGCGAGGGGGAGGAAGAAGACAGCTACTTACCGAATGCGATGCTAACACCTCCAGCTCCTGTCCCAAAGACAAAAGAAATTCCAATGCCTCCACACATCACCCCAGCTCATCCCATGCCCCCATCACCTCCAGCTGAACCACCTGTCACGAAATGAATTCAAAAGCCTAGCCAACAACTTGCTGATATCCTCGCCGGTAAAGGCAATACAAACAGTCACAGTATACCTAATATACCAAAAGGAGTCCAGCTCCCCACTACAGTCGAAGATGAAGCCGACCCCACCAGACTTGAGGGGGAGGACAGAGCCACAGCTTTGCTTGCATCCATCGTAGACGATCCTGACGACGCCCTTTGCAATATCGACCTCGCTATGGCCATGAACGAAGTCACCACTGAGTCTGAAGCCCTTGAGCCTACCTCACTGGCTGAGGCTCATCATCGGCCGGATTGGCCGCAGTGGGAGGCTGGGATAAGAGAAGAGTTAGCAACGTTACATGCAGCAGGTACTTGGGAACTCGTTGACACACCTCATGGTGCCAACATAGTCAGATCCAAATGGGTGTTCCATGTGAAGAAAGACGCTGCTGGAAATGTGGTACAGTACAAAGCCCGACTCGTCACTCAAGGCTTCTCTCAAGTCGAAGGTGTCGATTATTTCGATACCTTCGCCCCAGTCACAATGCTTGCATCCATTCAAACCGTCCTTGCCATGGCAGTGTAATCAAACCTGGAACTCCATCAGATCGATATCAAAGGCACATACCTGAACGGTACACTTACCAATGATGAAGTAATCCACATGCGACAGCCCCCAGGCTTCCAATCCACTGATCACCCCAATAAAGTCTGTCACCTCTGAAAGACATTGTATGGTTTGAAGCAGAGTGGCCATCGCTGGTACCAAAGATTAGTGGAGATCCTCATCGATGAGCTGGGCCTTACCCAGTGCTCGGTCGACCAGGCCATCTATTTCAGACGACGCACCACTGGTGAGCTTGTCATCGTTGTCATCCATGTCGATGATTGCACCATCGCCACAATGTCCCTAAACGAGATAGAGGAGCTTAAGTGCAATGTCAGAAAATACATTGAGATTACCAACCTTGGGGAACTTCACTGGCTGCTTGGCATTGAAGTAACCAGAAATAGAGACGAATGTACCATCTCCCTGTGCCAATGCCCCTACATCAAGTCCATCATATGACACTTCAGCTTTGATGAGCTCAAGCCCATGTTGAACCTGATGGAACCCAGTACCAAACTGCATTCTGGGCAGTCGCTGTCAACTGGTGCTGAATTCGCTATGATGCGCCATGTACCCTATCATGAAGCCATAGGATTGCTCATGTATGCCTCCCTTGCCACTCGTCCCAACATCTCATATGCCGTAATGACTGTCTCACGTTTCTTGGGCAACCTTGGAGTTGCTCATTGGGAAGCTGTAAAGAGAATTTATCAGTACCTTCTCGGGACAAAAGGCTTACAACTCATGTATGGGGGATCACCAAGTGCATTGACTGGGTATGCAGATGCAGATGGCAGCATGGCAGAAGACCGCAGAGTGGTCTCAGGGTATGCTTTTCTAATAGATGGCAGAGCAGTGTCATGGTCTTCTAAAAGACAGGAAATCGTCTCACTCTCAACAACTGAGAGCGAGTACATGGCAGCCACACACATGGCCAAGGAGGCCTTGTGGCTTCAGTCGCTCATCGGAGAGCTTTTTCAGCCATTCATCGAGCTGACCATGTTGTTTTCTGATAATCAATCAGCCATCGCGCTCACTAAAGACCATCAGTATCACGCACGCACCAAACACATCAATATCCATTTTCACTTCATTTGCTGGGTCGTAGAGAATGGCAAAATTCGCCTCATATATTGCCCGACTGCAGACATGATCGCTGATATGCTAATGAAGGTGCTACCGTCTCCGAAGGTGAAACATTTCGCAGTTGAACTCAGCCTATGCCCGACTTGAGGGGGAGTGTTAGATTTGGCAAGTCGCTTGTAGCCTTCATTCACTAATTGATGCTACTTTTCCTTACCATGGGAAACACTTCCCATTTATGGGTCTACAAGACCACTGTACTTAGTTGTTTCGAGTGCTGACAATACAGCATGGTAATTTTTGGTTTATTGTCTCCAAATGTTTCATATGTATACTTAATGGTACAAGCACTCGCACTATGACCGTGCTTGTAGTTTCAATACCGGGTTCAACACCCGTGTCTCACCCTTTTGTTTCATATAGTGTATTTAACTCATTACTGTAGTAACACCACCTCAGACATTTGCCGCTTGCGCACTCGACTGAGGTGGGTATAGTGTCTTGTTCCCATGTTCATGTACTTCGCGCTCACGTTGATTACCTTAGATCTTGCTATAGGTAATGCAAATATAGACATTTGCCACTCTGCACACTTGACTGAGATCTTGCTATAGATTTCTGTGAAATAGTTCCTCTAACTTGTGCTGAAATGTTAAGTAACATTTTTATACTCAGTGCCACTGGTGCCACTGGTGACTGGAATGTGTTCTGCACAGCAAGCATATACTGCTCATCGGATTCCCTGCAAGTTTTCAAGCTGCCACTGCTGGCTCATGTCACCCACTGGTCTCAGGACACACCTACATGCAGCCCATAACTTCAATATTGATGCACCCAATGCTCATGAAGATGCTCAACCATGCCCTCCCCCCAATGTTGTGCAGGAATACCACAACAAACTGACAGGTATGTTGGCTCATTTCTATTTACATCCATCTTAAATTTTGTTGCACAGGAAGGATTTGTGATGAGAATGGTCTGGACATCCCTCAAGATGCTCTGCCTCCCCTCCACACTCCCCAAAGTCCAGACAACTGGACACCATATTGGAACTGCCTGGAGTTTGAGACTGCTCAACTCCTCTTTTCTCAAGCACAATTGTCAGCAGGTAAAATTGACCAGTTACTTCACTTATGGGGATCATCTCTCACACCTCATCAAGATACCCCACCATTTGCTGACCACACCAACCTTTATAAAACCATTGATGCGACCCCAACAGGTGACACACCTTGGGAGAGCTTCAGGCTCAAGTACAGTGGCAACAAACCATCAGAAGATGTTCCTTCCTGGGTGAATAAGTCATACAATGTCTGGTTCCAGGACCCCCAAGTTGGCATCAAGAATATTCTTTCCAATACTAACTTTAATGCAGAAATTGACTATGCTCCATATCATGAATTTTCAGTGGACAGTCACTCACAAAGGTATAAGGATTTCATGTCCAGCAAGTGGGCTTGGGAACAGGTAGTGCATACCTTAGTGACACTACTGGTGGCTTTCATTACTAACCATTCTTCCAGGATGAAATTGTGAAAGAGCCCCAAGCATATGGTGCAACATTCATCCTGATTATCCTGGGCAGCGACAAAACAACCATATCAGTTGCTACAGGCCAGAATGACTACTGGCCTGTCTACCTTTCCATCAGCAATGTTCATAACCATGTTCAGCATGCACATCACAATGCTGTCATCCTATTAGCTTTCTTACCTATTCCAAAAAGTTGTTACACTATTTACTTCTCTCCCTTGCACACTGATCTGAGATTTGAATGCAGCCAGCAAAAAACACTCAGATGATATCCTCTTCTGCAAGTGCAAGAAACAAACTTTTCATGTGGTGCTTGCATGAATTCTTTGACTGCTCAAGACTGGTATGATGACCCCAGAGGTTCTCTGCTGCCCAGATTGCCACTTTCATCACATCATTTATGGCCTTGGGCCTTATACATATTGCCAACTATCCAGAACAGGTTTTACTTGCTGGCATTGTGCAGAATTGGTGTGGCTGGTGAGTAGACACAATTCAAGGCATTTTGGATGGGGCTGATGATCCATTCTAGATGTATGGCAACCCCAGATAACTTGGATGGAGGTGGTGTGCCCCATTCCAACTTACTTGCTGATGTGCTGAAGCATGCATTCTCACTTGTTGAATTGTGGGATGAACAGGGGATGGATGTGGAGATCAAGGTACAAAGTTTGGATTTTAGATGTGATTTGGACTCATTGCAATTGCAGCCATTTACTGACAAGTTCCCTCCAGCCACCATCTACTTGTTATTAGCACCTGACATCCTACATCAACTGATCAAAGGGACATTTAAGGATCATTTGGTTGAGTGGGTGACCAAGTACCTTGAGCAAACTCATGGAAATGCTGGAGCAAAGGAAATTCTAGCTGATATCCATCAGCAGTAAGACATTTTACTCTGAGTTGATGTTGTTACTAACCCAATATGTGAATAATAGCATTGCAGTTGTTCCATCCTTTTCAGGTCTGTGATGTTTCCCTGAGGGACAGGGATTTTCACAATGGACAGGAAATGACTCAAAAGCACTAATGAACATTCATTTCTTGTCCAACATGCTGGATTCCTTTCATTGCATTGACATTCATGAAGGTCTGCCTCCCTGCCATTGAAGGCCATGTCCCAGATGATATTGTTTGTACCTTTCAGGCATTTTTGGAATTCTGCTACCTTGTTTGGAGGGATGCAATCACTGATGAAACATTGGTGGAGATTCAGGATGCTCTCACTTGATTCCATTGTTATCATGAAATCTTTTGCTCTACTGGTGTCTGCCCAGATGGATTCTCTCTTCCCCATCAACACTTGCTTGTCCACTATGTAGCACTCATCAGATCATTTGGTGCACCAAATGGCCTCTGTACATTGATCACAGAATCAAAACATATCAAGGCAGTGAAAGAGCCATGGAGACATTCCAACAAGTATAAGGCACTTGGTCAAATGCTGCTAACAAATCAGCATTTAGACAAACTCACAGCAGCAGCTGTTGACTTCAAAAAGTGTGGAACACTGAAGGGTTCAATTGCATTAAGCCATTCCCACTATCTACATATGTTTGTTTCTCACTGCTTCACAGCCATTGGACTAATTCAAAGCTAGGTGATCTTCACATTGATTCTGCTCCCATACTTGGAGAAATGGATCCAGAACACAACCAGTTTGATGATGTCAATGATCCTGGCATCACAGATGAAAGGTTGGAAACTGTTCACTCCATTGTCAAACTAGCACAAGTGCCAGGTATCTCATCAATCTTTGGTGTCTTATTACATGTCTTAATCTCACTAATGGTAACAGCTAGAAACCATGCCACCAAAGTCCTCTCACTTGCAAACGAGCTCAGAGTTCCAGCATTTCCCAACCTCCTTCAGGAGTTTTTGTCTCACCAACTCAACACACCAGATGCTGAGCTTCAGTGCTTGGCAACTCCCACAGGTCATATCAAGGTTTTCCACTCTGCCAGTGTGACATTTGTCTTGCCAAGTGATCCTTGCAGGATCAGGAGCACATGCTGTGAACAGATTCAAGCAACACCATCCTGGTATGGTGGTCCTGAATGTTATGACACTGTGTTTGTGAACATGGATGACACACATGATGGGATGGAGGGCATGAACATAGCCCAGGTTCTTTGCTTTTTTTTGTTACCATGCACCAATGGCTTATCATACCCATGCACTCTCATTCATTGGTTTGATTACATAGCAGACATGCCCAATGATCTGACTGGGATGTGGATGGTAAAACTGTTGTCACACACCAAAGGTGTTGTGGACATGGTTATAGCTGACTCTGCCTAACTCATTGACGAGTTGCACACAACACCATGCTGTGCACATGAAGACTAAAGGCCTCATGTGTAGAAAGACTGCTGGACATTAACAGTCATCCTTCACACAAGAATGAGTTGTCAGTGCTAAAGAGAAAAGAGGAAGTGAGTTAAGCATGCATTAAAGGTTTTTAGTGCCCATGTACAGCATTCCAGTTTTCATCATATCTCCACCATTTCCAAAGATATTGACTCCATTCTCACACTCACTTAAAGTGCTCAGCCACACAGTTCTGCCTTCCAAATTTGGGGAGGATCCTCACACCCTGCACATTTCTACAGCACTCCATCCACCAGATGCTCATTTTGTGAAGTCCATCAATCATGGCTGCCTCTTTGTTGATCATCTTGCTTGTCTCATTTGCCAGAGACAGTGGCTATGTATATCTGTCAGGCATTCCCACCAGCTTCCATCCTGAAGCCCCTTGGTTCATCCCATTGTTGTCAGCCCCATCTCATCCCATGCAGCTTGGTCAGCATGTTCTCCTTGTCAGTATGACTTCCAGAAGGACATTCTTCAGTCACTGCAGGTCTGTCACTTGGTTAGAAAGGTCTTATGTGGTTGTTTTGGTCTCCCCAGTTGATGAAGCATATGGATCATTCCTCCCTGCTCCCTGCACTGTCTTTATTCCAAACTTGTACCCTGCCTGAAGGCTCAGGTGAAGCACAACCCTCCTGGGCACTCCCAGTATCATGGGAGGGTTGGCCAGACTGTACTCTGAGCTGAACTGGGGATCACTGGGAAGGAGTGATTTGGTCATATAAGACTAAAGGAAATATCCAGTGCCAGATAGAAGGCCAGGAATGTGCAACCTGGTGGCTCAGTAGCATATCCCTCCCCATGGTACCTGGAGTGAGAGAGGGTTTAGCTTCACCCTGACCTCCATACCAGTTTCCCCTTCACAGAAATGCACTAGTTAATGGGTGATTTGTTTGTTTATGATAGGATGGATGCCAGATTGGACCTCCACATCATTCTCAGCTCTCACAGTACTGATTAGGTCCAGGACATATGGGGCATTGGTGGGGAAACAGTGCAGGAGATAACTGCCAGCAGGTTTCTGAATTGATCAATGGTGCTGATAGCATATTCTATTGATTATACTATAGTGTACAACAGAATTTGCTGAGGTTGCCCTGAGGGAATGTCCCTGATGAGCCAGAATGGTGATTTCTTGACTTGTGTTACAACAAGGAGGCTTAGTGGTGCAAAATCACTGTTTGGCATTGTTTGTTTGTTGAACAATCATTCAGTAGACCATATGATACATTATGTAAGCATTGGTGAGCATCTCACCATGTTTTATATGTGTTCCCAAGGACTACATCCCCAGTATATCACAAAGTTACATAATTGTCCCAATGAGCTCTCATTTTCATTTGGGTGTTCTGTCATCAGTTTCTATCCAAATATTATGTAATATGGCTCATCAGAGAGCCATGACCAGCTTCTTTGATCCATCCACCAACACCTTGGACTCAATAGTGATAGTTCACTCACCACACCACAATTAATGAAAAACATGCAAACATTGGGACAATTTTGATGGCCTCCCCCCAGAGGCTCTTGGGTAAGCTGCTGGCATGAATCATTGCTCATACATGCTCAACAAGTGTTCTGTTGAGCCATTCTGCAACTCCATTGCATTTGGGGGTATCATGGATGGTTATGCATTGTTCTGTGCCTTGGGATTTCAGATATTCTGAAAATTCCACACTAAGGTATTCTCCCCCTCAGTCCAAGTGAAGTCACTTGACTTTGGTGTCAAACTGCGTGTTCAGCCATGCTTTGTAAGCTTTGTATGATTTGAAGGTCTCAGCCTTTGTCTTCTGCAAATATAAGGTGGTGTAACAAGTGTGGTCATCTATGAATGATACATAGTACTGGCTGTGGCCTGGGGTTTGGACTGGAGAAGGTCCCACTCACCTTTTATGTGTGATCCATCCTTTGCTTTTATCTGCTAAGATGTTATGCAGAAATGTGCTGCAAACAATAACACCATGTTTTGCATCAGCAGAACTACAGCCATCTTAATTTTACTTAATTACAACTTATTACAGCTTAATTACTTGGCCATTTATGCCAAGCCCATTGAGTATGTGTTCTGGAGTTACAGTAGTGTCTCAGAGTTTTGCCCAGAGGGCTTGGAATTTCTCCCCAACATTCAGAATTAAATTCCAATGTCAACCCACTTAGTAATTACAGTACTATAAATTTTCCACACTGTTATTTTCCACCTCAGTGACAACTGTGTGCACTGAGAACTCATACCTTCATTAGGCTATGAGCCCTGCTCTTGTGTTCTAATTCTGAAAGATTCTTTGTCACCACAAATCTCTTCTGCTTTTCATTTCCCAATCCTGCACTGTGTTTTGTATAGTTGCAATGGGTCCTGGTGAATCAGATAAAATCATTTATTGCATCACACACCTCATGGTTTGATGTAGCTTTCTTCTCTAATTGCAAACTATTGCACAGATATTGCACCAATAGATCTCACACTGGCCATGCATTCTTGTATTTCTGGAATATCTTGTATTCTAATTGCACCTACATAGAGATTATAATGCATATATGCATATATATGACAATGACATACCTGAAAAATAACTTTCTTGATGAGTAGCTTGTTTTTTTGCTGCATTATCATTCGACTTGTATCAAGTTTCTGGTTTCCAAGTTTGCGAATACCACACTACTTTTATCAGCAAGATCAGTGTCACATATGAAAAAGAATACAACCTTTAGGTGATTAAAGAATTCCTTCTTTCTCTGGTGGGAGATGGACTTTCCCCTCACTAGACCTTGATGAGGTCCAGAGGCTTGGTGTGGTGGCTGCCCCACTGCCTAAGAAGTGAGTTATATGGGTGAAATCCCCATCAGGTGTTCAAAGTGAAACTAGTTCACCCCCTCCATCTGGAAGGATGGGTGTCAAGCCCCCCTGAGCCAACACTAAAAACAATCACTGAGCCTTTAGAGGTATGTACAGCTGGGGGTACAAGCCTGGGGTGCTGGAGGGAGCTGTTTGGTCTAGGCCCTTCTGCAGGAGGTTTCTGTTGGCATAGATATTTGGTCAGCCACCCTGCTTAATCCTGACACCTTCGTATGCAAATCGGAGGTGATCCCCCAAAGAGGGTGGCAAAGGCGCACCAGGAAGTGTGGTGTCTGGCTGTTTTGACCCCTCTGGATTGGCTCCCTGTGCAGTTAGCAGTCCCCTTGTCAGGGTCTGTGTTATTAACCAGGAGGTTTTTAGTCAGTTGGGCCCCTTTGACACCTTGAGCGCAATGCTGGTTTCAGCATGGGTAGCCTAACCTGACATCACCAGGGTTGACAACCAGTACTCACTTATGAGTTTTCCTCCTACCTAAACAAAAAAAAAAAAAATCCTTCTTTGAGAGGCCCATTGCCTTGACAATGCTGTAGCCCTTTCCATCACTTCATCCTGGGCAGCCCTTTGGTCAGGGAATCAAATCCTGACTACTACCATTTATCAAGGAGTCCTGTTCTCTATTAGTCTTCTTTTTGCGACAGTCCAAGTCATCAGCATGCTGGTTTC